ACATTTGCATATTCAGACCCCTCACAATAACTCGTTTCTACGCTTCGAGTATCCACGAGTTAAAAAGGTATAACTAACAAAGTTAGTGGACTTGGTTATGCCAATACGATGTTAAGGTCTATTTTTGATAGCCTACTTGTCAAGAAAAGCTAATGGCATTGCTTTACTTTTTGCTGAAGTTTTGGTAAAATTTCTAAAACTTCAGTCTTTTTCTATCTTTTCTAACAGACTTAGTAGTTTGTTTGTTTGTTTGTAATAAGACAGTTTGATGTCATGAGCTATTAGAATGTGAAAGTAGTTTTCAAGTGACATTTATGCTTACCTCTCCCCAAGTCTCAGATGTCTGCCAAAGGTCTTTTCTATTCTTTGCCAAGGTACTTATACATTCTGCTATTGTGTCACTCATGTTGTGCGGAGCAACTTGATTCTCCTCCAGCTCAATCCAACCCATTGAATGAATGGGAAAACTTAGGACCTAATAATTTTATAAATAATGACAGTAACAACTTAACATGTGTAAAAATATAATGGGTCTCATGACTTGCAAAGCTGGCTCTGCAACTCGTCATGCGAGGAGTCACAAGTACTTTAGTGTCTCTTCTTTGACCAATATCAACTTCTCAACTGTCACTGACTATAAAACTTACACATGCAGCACATTAAAAGCACAACTGCTAACCATACTTAATGTGCTAACATAGAAAGGCTCAGAAAGGAAGCTCATTTATTGGCCTACCAAAAAAAGCTTAATGTACAAATTGTGCCCCATACCTTCTGTCTTTCTACAGCTTGTGGAAGTGGCTGTTCTCCTGATGTCTTCTTCTTGAGAAAAAAATCAGTGGTTAGTTTTTCAATGCTATTATAAAAGAACAACAAACAACGATGCATCCGCACAGCATTATAAATGACAAACATATTTATTCCAAACATTTTCTTAACATGGAAAGATAAGTAAATTTCCTTATATTACTATGGAAACAGTATAAAGCCAATCAGAGCATGCCATAACTACTTAAATTGGGTTTTAACAGTGGCATTTCCACCAAGTTGCTTTTCATCCGCTGAATTTCAATTAGAAAACTTGATTTTTGAAGTGGGATGAAAAGCACTGGTTGCCTTGGTGATAAGTGAGAATATTATGGTAAGCCTTAGTTTACCTTAGGTCTTTGAGAAACTTGAGGTCTTTCCCATTGTGTGGTACCAGATGAAACATGCCAATAGTACTTAGTACCATTCTCACTCTCTACTTCCTTCCATCCATCAGGAAGGTCCCCATCTTCACATTCATCTTCCATGTAATATTTTGGTTTATGTAGCTCCTTGGGTGTATCAGGAGGATTAGTGATGTCTACAGCTAAGTATGGCTCTATTAACTGCCCTGAACCACTTCTTATTTTTCCAGGATCGCCAAGTAAATTGTTCATGAMAATGGTCATATCATCTTGTGATTTAGACCTCTTGTGTCCTTTTTTTGAAGAACCAGGGGCAGGGTACCCAAGTGCTTCTCTAGAAGTATTTATAACATTACCATCAGACATTTTTCGTAGGTGCTTTTTCTTGAATATTCCAAAACCAGACTTTTTGGATTTTTCCTGTGATTCTTTTTCTAGTTGAGACAAACTGACATCTCTTCCTAGAGTGTCATCTTTTTCATCTAAAAGAGTTCGAGATGGCAAAGGTGGTGGCTCTTCTTCTGGCTGTTTTGGCTCAGGTTTCTTGGGTGGGGTTTTCTTTTTGGGCTTTTTTTGTATAGCAGCATAAAGTGGTGAGCCAACACAATCTAAAATTTAAAAAAATGAAGGATAAATAGATTATAAATTACATGAAAATCCTCATGCACAAGGAAAGGGTTCTTTTAGAAGCTGAAAACCCACTGAGAACGTGCTTTATATTAAAAAATACAGCTATAGAGTAATATTTCATTTTTGAATTATCTTTTGCTTAGCCTCCATTTCGGTTGTCCATTAAAATATTCAGCCATTCAACTGAAACAAGTGGAATTGAATGAACTTGTATCATTCTGGGCCTGGTTGTACAAATTAGGGTGGATAGTGCAATCCAATAAATATTTCCTTAACCCTTTCACCACCACGCACCGGTTTTGCGGGTGAAAATCATAAGTGCCTAAACAAGTGGATAAGACAATGCTGCTATCAAATATATTTTAAGAATTATTCATCACTATCCACCCTTTGTACAACCGGCCCCCGTAGTACATACATTCATTACTAACAATGGGTTTTAATTAAAGAAAAGAACACATTAGCACAAGGCTAACACTTAACAAAGGTGAAAAAAGGGATTATAGTAGTGCTAATGGCCTGCTATTTTATACATAATAATGTTAAAACCACTATAAATTCTACAGTACTTCCGACTTAAAAATAAACGTACCTTCATCACTGCTTGCAGCCTCATTGTTTTCAAAAGCCAAACTAACCCCAGGACCAGAGTAAGGTTTAGGTAATGGTGGTGGACGAGCAGTGACCTTGCCACTATCACTTGATGAATATCCATCCCTTGAAGAAGACCTAGAAATTTTCCCAACTGGGCTGTTATCATCATAAGAATTAATCATATCTTGCAGCTCGCCAGAAATGGATTCACAGAGGTCTGATTTTGTAATATTCGAACGAGACGGAATCTCAGGAGGAACTTCAGGTTCCTGATTTTTATACAATACCCCAGAACTTATTTTATTATCCTTTTTGGTTTTGTCCTTCTGAACTACAGCATATATATCGCCAACACCCTGGCCATCATCAGCTGCAGTAAAATCCTTCTGCGTTGCATTACTAATTTGTTCAGTTCTTGAAATATTTTGTTGATTCACAGCTTCATAGGTATCATCTTCATTCTCAACAGCAGTGTCATTATTCCCAGGCATACCAGATATTAAATGTGTAGTGTTTATATTTGCTCTATCAAATTTTCCTCCAAGAACTTCGACTTCTTCATATCTCATTGGTGCTCTTCTCTGATCGACTAACAGGCAATTATTTGTTGGTTCTGATGATTTCTTTTTTTCTAGAGGTCCAGCAATGCCGCCACTGTCAGTTATGATAAGAGGTCGAAACTCTTCCCCAACATAAGCATAAGAAAGATGCTCGACACTTGGATTGTTTTCATCCTTATGGGTTTGTGTATTTTGCAATTTCTCTTGGTGTGTTGTAGGAACAGGTGTACTTAAACCCCCTTCATCTGTAACCACCAAAGGTCTAAATTCAACCTCAGCATATGAATAACCTGCAGTATTTTCACCGTTCAAATTCTGACCTAAAATAGTTTTGTTTTCTTCACCAGCAGCAGGGCTAGTTGTCTCGCTATTAGACCCATCTATTTCATCAAAAGACCCTGTTTCATACCCAATATCGTCTTTAGGGCTTAATTTTCCAAAGAGATGGAGGTCATCACTGTCACTTCCACTCGCATCATAACTGTTTTCCTTTTCAATTTTAGGAGATTTTTTCACTGTGGTTTCTTGGTGAGGTGGTTTTTTAGGTACACTAGGTTTAGATGATGCAGATGTAGATTTTTGGCTTTCGGCACCTGTTTTCCTGTTCTGTTTTGAAGCTGTGAAAAGAAAGTAATAGTGTTTACAACTTATTATTCCTAATAGGGGTAGCTATATGATCTTGGCTCACACACTGACCACAGACAAAACTTAACCAATCAAAAGCAATCCAAATGTGATTGAAAGTGAATCAGCCAATAGTCAATGAGTGTTTAAATTGATCACATGACATTGGTTTCTGAGGTAAATAATTTAATTTCCTGAAAAAGATGACTCTATTTTGCTGTCAAAAACAATAAATTATGTTGATTGATCTGTATTTTTGCAAGTGCAGATTCTTCCTTCTGTAAATAATAATAATTTGTTAGTTTAAGGTTTGTAAGATATGTATGAATAAAATCAATGGACTAAAGAAAACTGCTTTTTTGTAGCATTGTAATGCGAAAAACCACATGCTGATATATATGAAAAATTAAAATTCAGTATTTGAATGTTATTATCATATTGAACGAAAGAGGCAGACATAATGATTCAAAGTTGAAAATGATAATTAAGGATAACAGTAACTTGAATTTTTCTATTAAATATCAAAATGAATATTGAGTCAGGCAAGTTACACCTTGTAAATAAGGACAAGTTGTAGCGCCATATACTATTAGAAAACACAGCTAGAAGAAATTCAGATGGATCTATTAATGAATAAGCTCTGTGCAATATGCTGCAATTAACCTAAGAAAAAGCCTAGTGGAAGATGGAGTATAGGAGGAAAAAAATGAATATGCATGTTTATAAGAGGAAGCCAATTACATTGTATAGCCAAAATATTTTGGGTTGATGGACAGAACAGCCTGCATTAGTTTATAACAAGACAGCAAGACCACAGTAAATTGGTTCTACTGTTATGGTGTTCCTGCCTTGTATATATATATATATATACACCACAAAATAATGAAGTCAAATAAAGAAAACATGAAAAATAAAAAACAAGCAAAAATAAAAAAATAAAGACTTAAGAATATTCATTGATAGCAGAATAGAACAGAATTCCAAACTAATCAATAAATGACATGAGGTGGAGTAAATAAGTGGGTCAAATGAGAAAATATACTCATTTCAAAATGTATAAATAAATTATTGTCAGATAAAATGAAAGATTATACAGGATTAAAAGGAATTCTTCTACTTTTGATTCCTGTAAAAATTGAATGAAGATTTTTTTGTATTTTCAACTGAAAATTGATTTTAATGTTGGTTTAATTGTTTTGACAAGGATGACAAGGACCCGTAATATCTATCTGAAGCACATACCTGTTTGTGGCAAACCATTTCTTTTGCTCTGCTGTGAAGAACAAGTCTGTAGATAGAGAATAGAATATCCTTCAATTATATTCAACCCTGAAACAACATCTTAGCTGAAATAACTTATAGTAAGATTGAATAGGAATTAGCATGTTGATGAAAGAAAGAAAAAACAACAAAGTACTAAAAGAATAATTCTAAAATCAAGAGATATATAATATGTCTTCAAGTATAAACATATGTACTGTAGCATGGGTGGTCTATACTTCTTAAGTGCACCAGCCTCTCACCAATGCTAGTCCCCTGTTCAAGTCCTCTTGCCAAAGATGGTATGTGAGTTTGTTTGCCCGGGGGGAGGGGGGGTACTCCCATATATGGACTATATGGGGATGATCCGCTAAACAGGGTATGGTTTTTCGAGCTTCTTGTCATGAACAGGGTATGCAATTTTACTCAATTTCGAAGTTCTTCCTGAGTTTCCTGTCATATTCAGGGTTTTTACTTTCATATTGACCGAAACTGGTTATTATGGTCATTAAAAAATGATATGCAAGATGACATGATAATTGAAACGGGAACTCAGTGCAATTAACTATATCCTTTGTCATGAACAGGGTCTACAAATTTGTTTTTTTTTTTGTCATAAATAGGGTACCCCTTCAGAATCCCAGCGGAACACCCCTACCCAAATTCTGGCAGAGTACCCCCCCCCCCCTGGGTTTGTGTGATGTGTTGGTTCTCTCAGGCTATACAAGGGTTTTTCTTGGAGTCCTCTGGTTTTCCTTTCTGRGTAAAAAATAATATGTCTTGGAACTTTTTGAGTGTCATGAGCAAAAAACACATGCCAAAAAGTGTTCCTAATTAGTGCCAGAGTGCTATAGAATGACTAGTCACTTAGATGAAAATATYGTCCTTTAAATATATGATTGATTAAAATCAACTGAGCCACCAACATTAGATAGAAAATATTAACTAGAAAATCTATGGCTAAAGCTGATACTAGTAAACAGCAAAAAATACCAATTTATTGATAATCATTATATCAAATATAAAAATAATATAAATACACCTGTATAAAATATCTACAATAATTTTTTAAATGACATGTAAAAAAAATGTGAAAAGTCTGTAATTTTTTCCATAAAATAGATCCTCACTTTATACTAGAAAAATATTCACAATAAATTGTAAAGTTATTGAAATTTATAATTCCAACCAAGCATAGAAAAAACAAAAATACTGATATTAGGTAGGATGGATTTGAATGGAACTAATGTCGCTTCTAGACATACATTAAGGACATTCAATGAAGGTAAACAGAACTTAATAAATTATTATTTAAAAAAAACCATTTTGGTCTTGAAATTAAGGAATACCAAAATATACTAATAGTTATAGATTTTGAATTTCTTATGGTCAAAAGTATTATTATCAGAAGCAAAATTAGTGGTATATTTATTATGATTTAACCAGCTGAACATTGTTTTTTATGCTCAGTCTTTTTTGAGTACATTAATCCTCAATGATAGTGGTTTATTTATTAAAGGAAAATCTAGCTTCATATTCTTGCCATCAAATTTTAACAAACAAACTCAGTTGGGTTAAGTCTCTAGGTAAAAGACATTAAGGGTCTCAGACATACGCCAGACATAAACACTGTGAAAAARGTGTCTTCATCAATTCTATAAACAGAAAAACTCAATCTTTACAAACTGACATAGCTGTTTATGAGTAAACAGTGACGATAGTTGATTTTTTGTTTAGATAGTAAATTTACTAAGGTCCATCCATCAAGATTTAACCTTCATTTGCTATTATAATACAGAAGATCGAGGTGATAGARAAGAACTGTACTATAATAAGCACTATATAAAATGTCTTAAAACAGTTTTAAGTCGGTAATTAACTAGTTATATATAAATAGCTTTGAGTTAGCTGTGGTTTTGGATAGTATCTTGGCAAGGGTATGACTAGGAAAAGGAAAAGACAGTTTGAACTCGTGTTTATAACTACTGAATTAAAATATACAGTAAAGCGAGTGTACCTTTGCATGAAAGGCTTTCCTGCATTTTTCACAGTAGAGAGCTTCACAAGCAGCACAACAAATTACTGGTTCATTTGTCTCACAAACAGTACACTTTGGTTCTTTCATGCCAGACAAATAAAGAAGAAAAAACTGCCATTCTAAAAATACGTTTGTCTTGTATAATTTTTGAGTTTAATTTGCATATTCAAAAGATGTCACCAGGAATATCAATTATTTGCTTGTCCTGCATGTGGCATGGCAGAAACTGGTATAAATAATTCATATCTCTAAGCAAAACATCAATATCAATTATTTCTTGAAATGAGTAAAAAAAAAACAATACAAGCCAAAAATATGAGTAAGAAGTATAAGTTTTTGTTATTCAGTTGAGTCATAAATAGTTAATAACTAACTACGATTGTATTTGAGATTCAAATTTCTTCTTTACTTGGCGACACTTAGGTGTTAAGCTATTCAACAATAGAAGCAGTGAATAAAAAAGTAATTCTAGTCGTACTACTGGCTCAAAATAGTAAATCAATGATGAATATTCATATAAATTTCTTAAAAATATAGTCAGAGTAAAATTCACTGAAAAAATGATTAGTGTTGGTAATATAAATTAGATTCGAGAGAAAATTAGCTTCCAGGTGAAGAAGCAAATGACATGACGGTATAAGAGATAATCATATTGGATTGATTGCTTTTTAGACTTGATAATAAGTATAAAGGAAGTAACTGTAACTCAAATTACTAAGCAATTAATATAGATCTATAGACAACCAAATTGTAATCATTAAGCCTCAACAAAAAAGGTAATTTTTAGAATATTTTGCCCCAACTATAAAAAAAAATTTAGGGCCAAATCTGTCTATTATTTTTTCCTTTATTTTCCCTCTTATACCCTCCTTCCACTGGTATTGACATTCATGCTTTCACACTTCTCCAAATTTGAGGTATTTAAGTTCTTGGATTCATTTGTGACAAAAACATGCCCTGCCTGATGTTTTGTACATATAAAAATGTCCTCCAGGAATTCCAGTTTTTTTATGCACTTCCAGGATTAGCAACCAATTCCTGTCCCTACCCCTCATGGCTTCAAGAATTCTTCATAAGGGAGGGGCTGGTAGAGAGAACACAATGTAATACAGTTTTTGCCATTGCTAATTAGAGTTAAGATACTAAAATATATTTTAAATACCAAAGTTGGCTTCAACTCTTTTGTCCAAAAAATATTAGAGAGTTAAGATTGAAAATTTTTTTTTCTGAATGCAAAAGGCAAAAATTATAACGGCTTATTACGTACATGTACCTAAATTTATACACCTGTAATTTTTGGTGCCATATCAAGCTGATTGTTTCTCCTTTTTTTAAAGATCAGTAAAGATGAAATTAATTATATTGGATGGCTTGGAACCTCAACAGTCCAACACTGTCATAAATCAACAATGAGGGAATATTTTGACAAATGGATGGGGGAAAATGAAATGATCATCTAAAAAGACCCAACAATTCAAGTCTGGAACTATATGCTCTTGGAAGACTAAACATCTTGAGTTTTCTTCTAAGCTTTGAATGCTATTATTCTCAGAATCCTTATGCCCAACAGATTAACACTGACGTCAAAAAGTATTGTGTGAAAGGACCATGCACTTTCAGATCTTAAGAATGTGACTCTAGGATTATGAGCATGTATATAATACTATACATACAACACTAGTATCCAGACTTATACTTCAAATAAAACACCCACACAAAAGCCACTACATGATGCCTTTTCTTAAGGACATAAGCTGCTACCTAGATAAATACTTTGTCTTTAAATTTATAGTATGATGTTTGCCAGGATTAAATCTAAATTATATTTAAATATTCATTTTAAAGTCAATAAAGCTGGTTGCAGTAAAAAAGCCTATTTCTTTGTCTTCTTTAGTTATTATTAACACAGGAAGTAACATAGACTGTTTTTCATCAGAGCCATCCATTAATTCCATATCGATTCATTGACAAATCTATGCTATAGACTTCCTATAGACTTCCTATACTACAATGTGATTTGAGATTTTTATCTGAGTCTATCAATATTCAGGTTTTAGTAAATCTTTTACTTAGATATCTTTTTAAAAATCTTACAAAATCTTATCCAAAGAAATGCAGTATGTACCAACAATAATTATGAAAAGAACGATTATCCCATGCCCTGAAGAGCGTCCTCATATATATTCATTGATATATTCACCCTTGAAACTGTTATATAGCAATCCGCTTGTTAAATAATTATGGTTTGAACATTTATCTAGCAATATTACTGGCTTGTGGCTGACAACTAATAATTAATAGCAAGTCCTGAACAAAAGCTAACTAGCTGAAACTTTGCTGCCAACTGCATTTACAATCTCCTATTGTTTAATCAGAAAATGTCTTAGTACTATGCAGATTTGCTCATATGAATGTCAATAATAGAATTATTGTAAACCTCAAGTGATGACAATATTTTAATGATGTGATACCACAGTTGAATAGATGCAGCATACATTTTTACCAGGTAGATTTTAAAAAAAAATTTTGTCAATTTATCTTTAGGAAAATAAAAGCATACTCTATTTCCTTTGCACTAAGTGTTTTTGAAATAATTCTAAATCCTTGAGAGCAAAGAAATACAGTATTCAAACATTCAATATTTGTCACAATAAGGAAATTTAATATATATTTATTTTGTGCAACATAAAATACTCCTTGTGTTCAAATGTTGAACTTTTGATATTCCTTAAAAGTGCTTTTCATACATCAAACCTTCAACATCTGAATCCAAAATTCTGTTGTGTAATTGCATACCTTTGTTGCAGTTCTTTTTGGGGTTGTGGGTTTACTTCTCTGTGTTTTATCACTACCCGATGGTGTACTCTTGTCTTCAGCTGACTTTGTCGAAGCAGAGGATTTCTGGAGGAACATCATGATCAGAAAAAAATATGAAACAAAGTGAATCAACTCTTTATAAACCAATAAATAAATGTCAGTGTTTCATGACAATGTTATGGCCAAGGATCATTTTAATTATTTTGTGCTTAAATATACTGTCAGGTTTCATAACATATGAAATCTTCCACGATATCTAATCAGTCATGAATTATCATGAATTATCTAATTTGACATAACCAGCTAAAGTTGCAGAAATAATAATGCCAATAATTCTTTTTTGCTTTCCTTTGACTTTAATTTTTGGAATAACAAAATGAAAACATAAAGAGATCAGTGTTGTAAGCCCATAAATTTGTTAGGCGATCTAAAATCAACTCAATGTAACAAATAAATATTTTTTTATGCAAATGTTTTATATCATAAAATGAAAAATATAGATGTTATTGATATTTTTTTGTTGATTAAATGTCATGCAAAGAGCTTTCAGCATTTTCTGTCACCCTCCCATTAATATTAGACATTTAAGTTTTGAAATAATAGTTAATTTCCTTTAAGTTCATATTTAATTGGCATCAAGCTAATGCACATTCTTGGGATTCATTTTTGTTTACTACAGATTCATTTATAACAATTATAAATTGAAAAACATCTACAGGAAAGATACAAAAGAGGTGAAAAGTGTTAGAACAACAAATAGTTTAAAAATAAAATGAAGTACGAAAGTAAAATGAAATTTTGGTCAAGATGCAGCATATGAATAATTAAATGACCTAATGAATAAATGTTTTGAATAAATGAAAAACTTGAGCATTTGAAAAATTCATTTCTAAGTTTGTTTTGTGAGCTGAAACTCTTGTGTGATATGTTTTTACGTGAGATTTGACAACAACATTTTGTGGATGACAAAAATTCAAGAAAAACATTTAGTTAGCAAGTCAACTAATGTATATCAGGTTGACAACATCATCTGGTCTGTCAAAGATTACAACACAATGACAATGTTGGTATGATGATCAATATAACATGTATCAACAGACTTGTAATCCCAGTATTATGAGGGAAAACATCATTGCCAGATTTGGCTATTCTTGTTCACTTTTCTACAAAGTGACAAATTTTGGGTTGCAACATTAAGAGTGGCACTTGTGCAAAAATAACTTGAAAGATACCCTAAAGCACTGTGTAGATGAATGCTAAGAAAATAAGGAAGCATGTAACATCATTGAAAAAGGGGGAGAACAAAAACATAATTAAATCAAACAAACTCTCTGATTTATAATGCAATCAGAAACTAAAACTGGTGGTTTCTTTAGTAAATTGGCTCACGAAATGATCATGGTTTTTGGATGCAAAGTGTAGTTCTTGGTATTGTTCATCATTGTATTGATCATTACAAAGAAGTCTACATGTGGATTTTTCTCGTTAAGCCAGGAATACAAAGGAAAGAAAATCAACAACAATGTGGTGTTATTCGACAGCAGAATATAGAACGTGTCTAATCACATTATCAAGGGAATCTTTTTACGCTCAAGTGCAAATCACATGGTTTAATAAAAATCAAGCGAGCTGTTTCAGCGTCAAAACAGATATATATATATTAAAAAAAAAACATGATACCCACATCACAGAACTGCTTCCATATATCATTTAACTTAATTATCAAGGAACGCTCTCGAAGATTTTCTGTATTCGAAATGACATTATAATAATAAATCGAGCTCGCACTAATTGAAATTTATTTTTCACGTCCACAAAGCCAGTCATCCGTCTAAAAAACAATTTACTCCATTTACGCCGAAGAAAAATCATTATGATCACTGATATCTTTCTAGTCAAAAACGCCGTAAATGCACTCCATAAGCTCGCCATTACTTCTAACCCCTGCCTGGTTGCTCGCTTGCTGTAGCCACAGTAACTGGTACAATTTCTAATATTTACATTTGTACGTATTGAATTCATAAATAATCTATACCTATGATCATGATTTTAGAAAATGTCAAGTTGAAGTTCGAAAAATTGTGGAGGGGAAAAACAATGCATTTATTCAAAAATAAAACTTTTGGGGAAAAGAATAAGAATAATCAGTAGATCAAAAGATTGTTAAATATCCGTCAACGCACGGGTAATCAAGATTAATACTGTGGCGAGAGTGTATTCATTATATTTCTGAATGTCTGTGAGGATAGGATCTGGCTCCGCTCACACTATGCAGCTAGTTTCAGTGCTATATATTAAAATTGTGAAATATTATCCTTGCACAAGATAATTCTATTACTGAGCTTATATTGAGGCTCAAAAACACGGGATAAATTAGTAAATGAATAAAATTCCTGCACCTCAAATGTCTGGCTTGTCTGTCCAGCTGATTTCGAAGCAAGGATTTGAATTCAAAACACATGAAGATTACTGAAAATATTCTTACAGATTTTTGGGGTATTGTATGAATAAATAAAGATCTCAAGGTTGGAAAAGCAATTCAAGGCCTATAAATGGAAAAACTGATAGGCACATTTGAGAATATATTTACTACCATACGAATTTTTAATGATTTTAATGATTTTAAGTCTTCTGAGCAGCGCCATTTGACTACATCGAAAGAAAAACCTAATATTATGGCCATTTGGCTAAAGGTTTTTTGACTATCCCTGTACTGCAGCCTTAAAGACTACACAGATTCAAACAAATTGGTGTTTTTAGGCTTTAAATAAAGAAGAATAGAGCTTACTTTTAGTCGCGGTTGTGCTTGGGGGCGGTCAGTGGGTGAAGGATTCGCTCGAACCTTCTTTGAACTGGACTCACTACTTTTACCGGTTGACAATTCAGTTGGCCCCTTTACTTTGGTCACTGAAAAACAAACCACGGAAAATAAGAATATAAGAATTATTTGAAAAATTTATAACGGACCCGCTTGTCAAAGCATTTGAGAAGGAAAGCCATTTTTTGACAGCACGACCGAAGAAGAAACTCAAACATTAACATTACATCACACTGCGAAACTCCAACCTACCTTTCTGAACCCTAAACTGGGACATACTACACGCAATTCACCACTGAACTTGACTTTAGTTTCCAAATGACAACTAGGAGAGTTTACATGGCTCTACTAGGGGTTTAGAGTGTGCATTTTTGATGGAAAAACACCAGCTCAAGAGGAAGTCCGTCCAAACGTCTGACTGAAAAATTCTGTTTAGTTACAGGAACTACCCCTGTGACGTCATGACGGGGGAAGGCCTCGATTGCATGCCTATAGATAAGCCAATTTTTTTCCCCTTTCATCTGATAATCTTTCTCATCTTCACCAAAACCTTGAAAAATATCGTGATGAAATAGGGGCTTTTATTGTCATTTATACTGACTCTGGATTCTATCACAATTTCTAGCCAGTAGAATATAAGAGATATCAGAAAGAATGGCTCAAAAAGGAAAATAAAAAATGTACGACTTGTCACAGTTTAACATACATCRCCGGAACTGTGCCCTGCTAGAATGCCCTTTTTCGCTTTTCTGTTACGTTTTTGCTGAATCAAAACAAAAGCGCCAGAAAAGCGAAACGAAAAAGCAAAGGGACCTATACTAGCGGGTTAATCAAGCTGAAATGTGCCAGGCATAGTACTTTTCTTTTTTGGGAACATCACGCTCAAATCCGAATAGTTCATTCAATCTTTCAGATTAGAATTTCCCCGATGGTAAGGAATGATAATTATCTTTCGAAACACAAGATTTTGGTTTGTTTTGGTTAGATTTATGTAAGATCAACACCGTTGTAAGTAAATATGATTAAAACCCCACAAAGAAGTGGAATAAATAAATAAATCCCTGTTTCATGCAAATGTTTTAAATAAGTCACGTCTCGATCACCTGAGGATGTTTTCATCGCTAATGGTAATAATACCACTAAAGCAATGATCATAGCAATTTTTAGGCGTGCAAAATTTCGTAATTTACTATGTATTTAAAAGCAAAACAAAAGGTAAATTATAATTGAAGTCATTGACCCTTGATTACATGGCTTCAGTTACAGTACTTCGTCATAAAATCAAAATTCGACAAAGAAAATGATGATGACTCTTTCGCAATTTTTTCCCCTACGTTTAGCGGAATATGAATCAACTTTGTAAAAAGGTCTACAAAATTTCGAAATCACATGACAAGTCGCAGGAATGACTCATTTCGACTACATATGCATATCAAGTTCGGTTCGTCACAGCGGGCAGTACACGATACATGTCAGCGGTTGACACCACAATACTTTCGTGGCAGCAGTGGGACGGTCGATATGAGGATCTATAGTCGTCATGATTTTTTTATTATTATTTCGCTTTGTAGTTAATCAAAATTCGGCTAGACTGATTCTTTAGAGGGGAAATCTTTACCCGCTACCTAAAAAGAAATTCTATGAAATCTTTTAATGAAACGTAAGGATCACTTGAACCTTCAGCGATGAAATTCGAAATTTCAATATGGCCGCCATGAAAGTCTTGCTAAGTCGATTATTGTGCAATTAACGAACTTCCGGTTTAGCTTAGATTTAATGCATTTAACTGGCTTTAAATATAGTATCTCTTTTTGATGGAATTAAACCATTAAGTTCGATATATAACGGTGCATAAAGCCGGATACGTTCTTAAATTCTTTAGATCAAAAGTTAAATTGATCGACTGCGGCCTTACGACTTGAGCGCCATAAGAACAATCAATGTTATGATTTGAGCTCTTAACTAATACAAGCAATGATGGATATATTGAAACCTTATTTCCCATTTTTTCACTTTCGCTTTTGCATTCTTTTTGACACAATTTAATTACATCTTTTGCATTGACTCCCTAACATTTATGTGACATAATGCGCATTAGCATCCTATATTGTATTATTTCAAACATTCATGCATGTATTCGCATTGCAGTTTTGAAAGTAATCAATAATGCAATGAATGCAATCAAAGAACGATAACAATCCATAGTGTTGTTATCTACATAGCTAATTTAGGTAGTATTTAATAGCGTCGAAGGGCGTTGTTGCCTAGAGGATGCACCCTGGTGTGCTACTAGTTACAAACCTGTACTGCAGGGTTTTTTTCAATCTAAATAAAAATGTTATTTCCTTAATTTAATTTCGAAGTCATGAGAAAACAGGTTGTTTAGCTCAAACTCGAACTCGCGCTAACATAAAAGAAATTAATGGAATCTAATTTTCTTTACAAGACATTGATTTTGAATCAAAACATACGCGCAGTCGGGGCAGTGCTTCCCTTTGAAGATGCGCACATAGTTCTTAGATTTTGAAGGATTATATATATGTGATTCTCTTGCTTCAATGTACCCTAGCAAGCTGTATAAATACTCAAACAAATTTGAGAGCATTTATGCGCTAATAGTTTAAGATAAAGTGAGCGAATGTTTTATGGATCTATGGAAGTCAAGGCGTAGGCGTAAGCTGGAGAAATTGTTTTCTTGCGCAGTTAAAGGCGCCGATAAGACTGAATAATTTAAACGCTACACTAAAAAATAAACCTAAAATAATTCACTGCATGTGAAGCGCGTTATGTTTCCTGCAATAAAACAATATCTATTGCGTTTCCTTTCATTCTGCCACAGGATTTGTTTGAAAATAAATTCATAAAGTTTTGCCTTTCCTAGTTCAGTCCTGCCGCTCATCTAGACTTTGTTCCTGACATGCGACACAGACTTAGTTTCGAATTCACCTGATCATAATTATTATCAGCTGCGCAATCTTATTGAACAAAGCAGCAAAATCAAGACTAAGAGTATGCTAAGAGTATGCTTAATCTGTTGAATCATGACAAGTCTGAAAGCGGTCACTACTAATAGTATAATTTTTGTGATCTCTCTTGCTGATAATGCGAGAAAAAAATAGAATTAGCTAACTAGCCACATTGTCGCGCTTTACTAAAAATGATCGTGTTTTTTTTTTGTTTTTTTTTTTTGTTATTTACAAATAAAAAATACAAATAACATAGCTGTTCAAAAATGATTGAAGTGACAATCATTCATTTATTGGTCGACTGTCAAAAACAGTATGCAAATATGCCTTGTTTTTTATCATATATACCAGTTTGTTTGCGCTTTTCTATTTTAAGCGAATAAATTAATGCTAGAATGAGCATTTACGTAAGTCTTCTTCAAAACAATTTCCTAAATGGACAATATTAAAGCCGCGCTCATGGAAACGTTTTCAATTTGATGCAGAAAAAACCTATCAAGAACATTGCCTGTCTTCACCCACTTAGGCGCAATTCACAAGGAGCCAAAAATGTGATAATTAAAATGTCTTCTGAATGATGTTGTTGGGGGAAAGAGGGAAAAAATTCTATTTTACAGGACTACTTAAGGTAAAGAAGAGTAGGAGGATTGAGACAGCTTCTGGCGTCAGAGTTGAGACTTTAATCAGCTTTTTATAATGGATGGTGGCAAAAACATGTAGATCCAGGGCCATATTGCCATCTATCTACTTTCTTAAAATATTTCTTGTACTTGATGTTAGGATACATGTAGTGTATCTAAAAAAACATCCGCTTTAAACATCACTACACTTTTTCGCCTTATTATGGACGAAAAATTGAATAAATTCCTTGTCGAGCTGATGACCTAAAAAATCTTAGTGGAATTCGGTCTAATTTTAAAATCGGGTTAGAAAATTGCTGATAATTACAGTGGCTACGGCGATAAGTACGAAGCGATTGGGCGACATAATTTGATTCTGGGAATAGCGGCGCTACTGGAAGAATATATTTATAGGACTGATTACAAGAGCAACTTAAAAACTGGCTTACTTGCAGATTTACGAGCAGAACTCGGCCAGAGCAAACACTAGCAAGCCGCTTTAGCGCAAAGATTGAACCTTAATTTGTTCCTTGCGCTTAAATATCTGCTGTCATTTCCGCGCATGTGTGTCATACGTCCTTCAAAGCAAAAAGCAAACTTGACGAGAAGATATTCGTAAGAATTAAGATAACTGGCCAAGAACAGGGAAACGCGCTTTCGTCGGCGAAGCAAACTCAAAGCTAATGGAGAAATTTAAAAATCAAATTTTACTCAAGAAGCTGTAAACAACTATGCGCAAGCAGTTGACAGTGATATTTTTTGCGATAACCATGCGATAGCCGGTCGTTTACGAGCTTCATTTCCAGCCGAGATGAATAAAAATATCTCGCCCACCAAGTTTGACGCCGTGTGTATTCAATCAGAAGTGTTGTCTCGACTTTGCTATCAGGTAAAAATCGCTGTCATAGGCTGAATGACTATATTATATTTGTAAGCGTGTAATGTAGTCTGGGTTCGAAATAGAGAATATATCAAGTGCACTTGTCTGATACAGGTAAAGTCACGAAATAAGAGTGCGCGAAAATCAGTGCAGTGAAATATTTAGAGAGGAAAGAAAGATGGGATCGTACGCACACAGCGAAAAACTAATAAGTAATAAGTAAAAGTAAAAAAAAAGTTAGTAAAAAATAAAACCACATATGGCAATATCAAGGTAAACCTCGGCATAAGACCGCTGGGCTCGCTTCCTTTGAATCAATCGACTAGTCTCGCTTTCTTCCTCGGCCTTTTTGATGAGAACTTAAGGGTAAGGGATTTCCAATTGAACTGAATGAGAATGTCAAAGGGCTTGTTAGAAGCGTCGGGTTTTATTTTGATTGCATTTGTATAGCTTGAATGCTTCCTCCTTTTCAAAGAAAGTCACTGAATTTGATCTAAAGATGTATTGGGTATTGCCTGTGGTTTTCCACGCCTACAAGCATCTGCTGGTTACGTTACAGTTAAAACTCATCAACAAATGCGTTTGGGCTAGGTACCAAGAAAGGAGGTAACTATGGCAACTGGGCCACAGCTCACCACCGGTACCCGTCACACTGAATCAGTGGAGTGTAATCTTACCTTTTAAGGAATCAACCAACCAAGAGGAGGGAGAGTGGGAAAATGTTTTAGCTTGCAAAGCTGCCAGCACTGCATGCAAAGACAGCAAGTGTGTCCTAGCTGAAGCTGCATTGGTCCACCCGACACAAATGGTGTGGACCGCTGACAAACAAGCATTGTCTTGGTTTTAACTTAGCCTATAAAACTACAAAAAAAGGTTTGTGAAAGAGTTTTGTTGAATGTTTTGTACTGTGGGCGAGGTGAATACCATCAGCGCATGGAAAGGTCACAACGATATGAAATGTTCTAAAACTTTTTCTGCACGTTTTCCGGCATATTTCTAGTAAGCAACTAACAAGATCCGGCATGCATCAAAACCTTCGCCAACCTTTTTTGAAATAGCTAAAATCTTTTGAAAGTTGAAATAAAAGCAGAAATATTTAGATATTTTATAATAATAAGTTCAAAAATAAGAGGTTCTGTGCATATCGAAAACGAAATGGATACATAAAAGAAGAAAAAATAAAAGACCGTTTAATAGCATCAATTATGATACCCATTATCATGTGACGTCACGTCGACTTGTCACGTGAGTAGAAAAGAAACCAAAGAAATGCGACTTATTCACCTATTGGGCACTCTTAGTCCCAACGGGATTAATGAACGCTTTACTTTCAACTAACCTATTCTTTTGTCTTTTGATTGCTTATTTTTATTTCCTTGCCTACCTTGTTCTCATTGTTTTCTTTTGTCTTATTCTATCATATAAACACTCCTTTCGGAGTGTCCGAAACATCAGTAAGTTTTTTCATCTTTTCACGGTGTATGATTTACATTTTTATCATTAATTGAGTAGAAATGAGTAGACAAACTAGAATAGAATATAGAAATGGGAAATGGAAAGAAATATAACGAATCCAATACAAATCAATTTTAAATTTGGTAAAGAGATGGATGGCATAAAGAATGGGAATTGCGAATTATAAATGGAAAGACGAAAAATTAAGTGCATGTGACAGCCGATATGAAACATTTTAAATTTATTAGTATATACAGTCAATGTCATTAACGTTGTCCACCGAAAAAAGACATTTACACATTTAGACTAAAAGAAATATCGCGTGTTTCATTATGTATTCTTTGCCTCGTGTGCGTCAGCCTGAACTTTAAATGTAAAATTCAA